AAAAAAAAAAGAATTTATTATCCTCTTTCGTTGCCTAAGAAACAGTTACATTTTACCTTAAATGAAATATATTTATATACTGTATGAAGCAGATTTTATTCAGGATGCCCATATAACCAAGTCGCCTTTATCGGCATTGAAGGAGAGCCAGAAAAATGTGTAATTGGACGATCAACATGTCCATTTGGTTTTACATGTAGAAGAAGTTATAATGGCAAAGATATTTGCTGTACTTTCAGAAAAGAGGAAGGTGAGACTGCACACAGTTTTTTCACCTCCTGTTTTCTCAAAAATGCTCATATTAGAGGAGTAATTAAAATGAACTGTATAAAAAAGTTGATCATTACAAATTGTACCGATTTAGAAGAATGTAAAGAAGATGAAGTCTATGTGGAAGGCCTATGTCTGGCACGTTCAGCACTCGGCGAAGTTTGTGTAGGTAATGCCCAGTGCACTGGTGGTTCCATCTGCATTGAAAAAATTTGTAAATGCCCGGAAAACACAGTGCCAAGAGGAAAAATCTGCCAGGCTGATATTCAGAGTAAACAGTTATTTTTATTTCATGAATATAAAAATTAGATGACAACGAAAATTTGAGAAGTATTAAAATTCTGTTTGGCTTTTATTTTAGGATGCGGTGCCAACCAAATCCAAATTAATGACGAATGTTATGACCTTGTTGAGCTGGGTGCTAAATGCCGCTTTTCTCGACAGTGTCCTATGACCTCTTACTGTGTTTCTCAAAAGTGTCAGTGCACTGCCGGATTTGAAGCAAAGAATGGACGTTGTGTCGAAATTAAGGAAAAACCAGTTATAGCTTCAACTTCAGTGCCGCCAACAACCAAAATACCTAAAAGTAATCATTGAGAGTTAATTTCTGTTCAGTTCGTCCTGAAGCATTGAGGAGTGGTATATTTGATATCGTGTTGACCAATAAATTTGCATTATAATCAATGCTAGAAGTACGGTTGTAAAGATGACTAACTGAACGAATTTGCAGTCAGTGTAACCAAAATTATTGCTTAAAATTTAAAATTTAGACGTAATTAGCTGTGTGAACCCAGTTCTGCAACCATATCGTAACGTTAAAACGAGGGAAGTTATGTCATGCTCTCCAATTACCGATCGCTGTCCTCCTGGTTATGCCTGCTTGTTAGATTCGATGAGAAGCCATTATATTTGCTGTGGTATTCCACCAAATCCCACCGTATACGGTATGCAGAAGATTGTTTGATAATATTCTTTCTTTTTTAATACAATAAATTAAGTCTAAAATTATGCATAAATATCAAAAAAATATAAATATAAAAACAAGTGTAAATAAATAAATAAATAAACATAAATAATAAATATATATATATATATATATATATATATATATATATACTTGTACGAGGAGACATTTGTTTTTTAAAAATTTAGGGCACTAAAAACAGAAAGGCAGAACTTGTTTGAACGGCTGAATATAAAGCAAATCAGACTATGATTCCATAATTTTTTATAAAAATCTTAAAATCTTCAAAGAATTAAGGCCGTCCAGTAAAATGATTAGAATTTGGCAAGTAAATGAACAAGTTTTTTTGTTATAAATTTAAATAGCAGTTTTATTTAATAGAAGCGGAATAGTTATTGAAATTCTGATATTTGAGAATTGTGGTGTTCGATTGTCACCTAAAGTAATTGTACTTTTACAGTCAAAAATTTATTACAATTGCTTACACCTGACAGAGAGTTTAAGTAGCCATTAATTGTTAAATGAAGTGTTGTACCTGAAATGATTCTGATATTAAGATATCAGAAAATTCTGTCAAGGAAACAACCTTTAAGTTGATTTTGAAACACAGCATTCAACGGGTTGCTGGCTAAGTATAGAAATTCAATAAATTTTTTATTTTTTATTTTTTCTTTCTTTTTTTTAGCGGTATGCCCGAGAAGCAGAACCCCATACTTATTGAACGGCCATCCACAGATATGTGTTGATGCCAAATGCCCACAAGGATATGAGTGCGTATATACGGGTTCGACTTACTACTGCTGCTCGTCAAGCGTAGTTTTGTCTCCTAAAAGTAAGTCACGTTAGGTTTCTGCTTTTAAAGTTTTCACGAAAAAGAACTTGTTAGATATTTTTTTAAACAACTGCTTTTAAGCTGAATAATAATTGGATCAAAAAAATTTAGTTTTTTAGTTTTCTAAGACTTCCGTATTTATTTATCAGTTGAAAATTTGATTATTGCTTACTTAGGGTCAATGTTTTATGATGGATGCCCAAGTGGTTTGCCGATAATGTATCCGGGTACAAAAACACCCGTTACCTGTTCCGGGAAAAGGCGATGCCCGCCTGGGTATTACTGTGCCAGGAGTAGGCAGTCAAAACAGTTTATCTGCTGTACAATTTATTATCTTTTTGACGACGACCATTCTAAAAGTACAGTGCTTAATTTGCGCCCACAATTACTGCTTAGTTGTTTTAATATATCAGAAACGAATTGCTCTATGAGAAGGCTTTTTTCTTATGAAAGGAAGCTCTATGGTATTGTCACAGTTTTTGTTTATTTTTGTAAAGAATTGCCTAGGGTCGAGGAAAAAGCAGAAAAAATCAGTTTGTTCTCTCTGAAAATTTGGACAACAGAAAAGAAAATCTATTTACACAGTAGTTTTTTTAACAGATATGAACGTGTTATTCGGAACTTTAATACAGAGAAACAACAAACATTGATGATATAAATCAATTGCACGGTGTTAAGAACCAAACTATTGCGAAAATAATAATTATTTTACTTTGATAATTTTCCTGAAACTTATTCCTTACTCATCAACTTAACAAGTGTTTTTTTTAGGTTTCGCCTGCAGCACATTGAATGGAACTTCAATAAATGGGTGTTCAAAATCAATTTTCAATTAAACTATGCAAAACGTCAGCAGCAAAAAAAAAAAAACGTTAAAATTTTGTTTGCAGTACAAAATTCTTTCAGTAGCCGCATTTTTTTTTTGCCAGAAACTTTGGGAGTTTCCTCCGCGTACTTGTAAGTTCAACGATTTTTTTCAATTAGGATCAAACAGTTTTCTTACGGACGACCGTTGGCAAAACATTTCTTTGGCCCTGTAACCATTGCAGCGGAATTATTTTTTATCTTTAAAGTATGGTATTTGTATCTGCAGTTCTCGAAAGACAGTTTACTTAAGTGTTTTACTTAATTGTTGCATGTCAATACATATGACGTTCTAACGTTTTGTTAACCATTCAACACTTCTGCTAAAAAAGGAAGAAGAAGGAGCTTTTTTCCCTACTTGACTATTTATGTAATAAATGTATATCGGAAAAAGAAAAACGAAGGAAAAAATAGGGTAACAGATTAGTTCTGAATGTGATACAGTACTTTTGTTTGGTCATTGCTTTAGCGTTACAAGTATCGGGATAAATTTACAAAATGTCATTTTTGAAAAAATTCTTTTTTTTGAAGACATTTATACGAGCAAAAAAATAATAACAACAAGGAGAACAAAGAAAGAACGATTTGAAAAATGAAGAATAAAACTAAATTTAAAAAAATTTACAAAAAAAAATAGGGGAGAAAGAGATTTGAAGAACGTTAAACTGTCATAGTAAGAAAACAACATTTTTAATAGTTGTTGAGAGAGAAAAACGAACGTTGTTGACTGAAAAACCAACAAAATTCTGACAGAATAAAGAAGCGCAAAAAAAAAAGAACAATAGCTATAGCTTTCTTTTTTTTGTCTTCAAAAGTTTTTGTAAACGTAAAGAGCAGAAGCGTTGAAATTATTTTTTCAAAAGAGGAGACGTCGTTAATGGAGATTTGTATATGTGTGTGTGTGTGTGTGAATCTGTGCGTGTGTGTGTAGATATCTGTGTGTCTTTCTGTTATGTACGAGATGTGTTTGGACATCGTAGTCTGTCTAACACGGCTTCGATGTTGGTTGGGCACGATACAATGAGCTGTGATTGACACACGGAAACGGCCGGCATGTCCCGTTGTCCGGGGGCTGTCAGCCTGATTGCGTATCCCTCTTTAGTTGTGGTAGTCGGACTCTGACTTACCGAAATCAGTCTAGGTGCTTAGCTTCGCAGCAGTATGCTGCCATCGTCTGTTCTAGTTATTCTCTGCGTTGTTCCAGGTAAAGTAGTTTTGTTGTTCTCTACGAACATGTTTTTTTTTTCTTCCTCTTTGCCGTCTTCTGTGTTCGTTTATTTTGTTTTCATTGGAACAGTGTTTAGACTGCCAGTTTCTGATATCCCTTAAGATTTAATAGTATAAATTAAATTAAGTACTTTTTCTTCCTAATAATGATGAAAATGATAATGATAATGGATTGATGAAGTGTATAGAGCGCTACAAAGGGAAACTTTGTTGTTTTTTTTGACTTCGTTGTTTTTCTTTAAAAGAACTTTTTTTTTCGATTTTTTGAAGACTTTTGATTCTTGTTATCCTCAATTTATTATTTTCATGCTTATGTACAGTATTGTTTTGATGTTTTTTTCTGCCTTGTTTTGGCTATGATGACTGTGGCGTTGTTTTAATTAATAACTGTATTTGGAAGGAAGAAAATTAGAAGAAAAAAAAAGGTGCACGAGATGATCTACTCGCTTTATTCAAATAAAAGATTTTTATTTGCCACTTTTCGGTGTTACTGTTTTCTGGTATTCTCTTCTTGGATGGATTTGCAAGTCGAGCACAAAGAAAGAAATGGCTCATTGTTAATTGGATAATCAGTCTTTCTTTTTTCATTCGCGTCTAACTGCTTAAGTAGAATTACCTAAATCTGGAGATTTACCAAAGTTGTTCTTTATCAGTTACTGGTTTTTAGTTCTTAAAATTAATTATCAATAAGATATGTAAAAATTGGAAAACATTTACCGATTTTCATCTGCTAAGTCATTGGCTACG